AGGCTAGTACCCAATACTAAAATAAACTTACGGACTAAATAAGACAACAGGAATTATTATTAGACAAGAAAATATTTAAAAATAATAAAAATCTTATCAAAAATGTTGCACTAAAACGTATGTTTAAAAATATAATCGAATAAACGACATTTGAATGGTACTGAAAAAAAAAAGTGAGTCATGGTGCAAAGAGGGAATGGTTGGTTCTCATTACAGTTACATAAAACGGTATGCAAAAGCGAACGTTTACACGTGTGAATGGTGGGCTCGCGGGCGTTTAATTCGAACGTGAAAGATGTAGCAGGAAGAAGCGGCGAGGAAAAAGGGAAAGGATCCCATGGACGAACTGTTCGATCGAGCGAGACCAAAGAAATCGTTAAAACTATTCTCCCTTTCTTACTATACTTTTTATCAACCGGTTCAATTATCCATCGATCGGAGATCGGCACCCTGATATTTCGTCCTCCTAACGGATCAGTTGCATCACGCAACGTCCTTTTATGTAATAACGCTTTATTTATTCTTCTTTGAATTCATACTTCCCTGGAACGTTAAACATTTCACATGCGCCGCTTCCTGGTCCCTGGGAAGGCGATCGAGATTTGCCCGGCGCCGGAGAAAATGATTTCCTGTTACCAATCATCTCATAATTCCTAACTTCCAACATCATCTCATTAAGAAACACTCTGATTTATTTGATCCAACGAAACGAAACGAACAATGGTTTATTTATTTAATGATCAGAATCTCGTGATATATTGACAGTCGTGTAAAAGGCTGAATTCTTGATAAATCGCAGTCTGCAACATTCTCGTTCCCATAGAAAAACGAAACAGCCCTAAGGAGATAGAAGAATCAGATGTAACTACGTACCTTTTACCATCCATAAACATAAATCCATCCGCCTGAACGACTCGGTGTCTTGCATTCTATTCGTCGTTCGCCGATTTCCCTTAATTCGACGTGTAGGCCTCGCGGCTCTGCCCGTCGAATCGGACGAGGCATGTCGGCTGACCGACCCTGATCGCTGCCAGGACTCGAAGAAGCGCATTCTGCGGAGCTCGCGGAGCGCGGCGCGCGCGTTGGATCTACTTTCTCTCTAGTCACATGATGCTAAGTCACACGACGGCGAGTCACATGCGTTCCTGCGCAATCTTGCATCGCGATGCGAGGCCCGTGTGAGAGATCTGCCGCTTCCACCGGGGAATCGTGTTTTCCCTGACACTCGCGCGTGTACAGGTGGCTGGCTAGGCTGGTAAGAAGCGGCGAAGAGAGGTCATAGACACCAGGCGGATCGATCTAGTTCAGTCCGTACCCGAGCGATCTTTCTTTTCTGATTCGCGTTCCCTTTCACGGAGGATAATAAGCTCGGCCCGGACAGACGTTCAGAGTTCGTTTTTCAAACCACTCCGAAAATCATAGTACTTACACAAGATGGGACAGCCGTCATTATTCATCTTGAAACGCGGTTACATTTATCTTTCGCGTTATGCGGATTCATCAGCCACACCTTACCGTTTTAACCAACATTTTTAAATACAGTAACAATTACGTGAATGATAGGTAATCACACACAGCATAAAGAAATAAATAAAAGACCCACGTGTGAAGGGTTGAAATATTGAACAGTGAGATCACTGCATGTCTTATGTCTCGATATGCCTTAATTAGCTTTAGTCATAGCTGTAACAGTCGTATCGGAAACATTTAGTCAGGCATCCGTTCCTTTTCTGTCCGCGCTTGACGTCATTGGTCTCGATGCGAAAAGACACACGTGATTTCATTACAAAAACCTTCTCACCTGTCACTCCACCCGGGACCCGGGGCGGCTCGAGGTACACGTTGATTCCGAGCGGCCCAATAAGCGGCTTCGTAATAAACTGAGATTGAACGTTTCTTACACCATCGTTGTTACACGAAACGCTGTTTCCTTTCTTCCAATCTTTACACGGGCTCTGTGTAATCATATATGTAACAACCAGCCCGAAGAGTCGATTGTCGATCGGTTTGAGTGCTTTCGACATTCTTCTGTGAAAGGTGTCTCGAATTCTGAGAGAATGTGGCTATATAAACGTAATTGGAAATTATTTGGAACAGTCAGTGAATTTCATTTTCACAGTAGTTTCGAATGATTCATTTTAGGTTTCTAGAGTAAAACGCTTTTAACTGAGTTAAGTCAGTGGCTAAGGGTTTGATTATTTATAACCGGTAATTTGCCAGGCTTTGTCCAGACTGGTCTCGTATCGCGATTGCTTTCGCGCATGATATCAGCCATTGTTCCACAGGCTTTCTCCTCTGCAAGTGTCTCCTCGAGGACAGAGGGAGGCAGACTCGAAGAAAGAGATTGCGTTGGCGATATAAATCTTAATGTCCCATTCGTTTCTGGGAAGTGTGCAGGAATTAAAGTTCGCCTTAATTAAAAATTGGTAGAAATTCGTTATTAATTCTGATCGATTAATCTTCGTGTTTCTAAAATTTCTCACCCTTAAACCATGTTTCTGTATCGAATTGCTAAGGTACAGTTACTGTGTGTTACTGGTTGAAACGACAGTGAACGAGCTATTGGAATCGTGAACGGGAGAACAACCGGGAGATCCACGACACGGAGAGAAGGGAATTTTAGTACACGTTGCGTTGCGTATTCTGACCCAGTTTTCTTCCGAACTGAGTAGTCACGGGATCCAGCGTTTCCCATACACGTCTGATTGACTACTATGATTTTCCTGCTACTTCTAATCGCGTATTTGCTTCACTCCCGAGGCTGTAATCGGACGAGAGCTCCCAGCGACCATTCAGATTAAGAATTTAATGGCATGGGAGCTTTTTATGGGAATAGGATTTATGTCGAATGCATAATAGATTGTTCATATATGTCTGTAAATATGATCGTAAAATAATAATCTTTCATTTGTTGCTTTTTTGAAATTATAAAAAATTGAAATGTGACATAGTCTATATTTATGAAGAAGTTTGATGTCATTCGGTTATCTTGGAATACTATGGAAATATGGTTGTCTGTTATGAATATGGAATCGAGTCCCGGTGGCACACGGAACTCTGATTCTTTTGCATAGCTCGCCGCGTGATTCACAGTAGGCGAGTCCAGTTCGTATATCCTGCATCGTTTGTATCCTGTTATGTGCATTGTTCGCCGCGTTATCGCCGGTTGTCTGACTAGTCGTCCGATATCGTTAAACTCAATCTTTGCAAACCCACACACGGTTCACCACTTTTGGACAGGCTGTTTTAAAACGAAGTCTTCGGAAACAGAATTTTTAGGAATGATTCAAGGATAGTCGATTTTCACTCGTTCATTAAATTCTTATTTTAATCATAAAAATCTTTGAAGAGGAGACTTTATCTATGAATCGACGTAACGCATCCGGGCTAAAAAAAATAAGACCTTGCTCCCGTTGTGAAAGTAATCGCGGCCAAGCTATTACGAGAAGCGTGTGTCCTCTCACTTTCTGCACACTCGCATAATCAGCCGCGTGCCCTGACCAAATTATACAGAGCATATAACAGAGTAAAAGGTAGTAATCATTAATTCGGCTCGCGAATGAGTAATCAGTGATAAATCTTGTACGAAGGCATTGGGAATTCTTCCATTTTTGGCGATCAGTGATCATATATCGACGTTTCGTCCTTTCTTAATCCCTTTCTCCAAGAAGGAATGAAACTTGCTTTTATTCTTCATTTTTTATTATTGATCGCCAATATTATAAAAGTACTTCTTCAGTCTGTAACGTTTATTTCATAATTTCAATGATAATTCTTTTAAATTCTATTTA